TTTTTTTTTAATCGAAAGACATCTTCCGAGGAGTTTATCTGGGCAAACACTGGAAATAAGACTTTGGACAAACTCTGCATTCCTCTTAGAATGAGGAATGTGTCGCTGTGTCACATATGCTACACTGGTATCCAGGAGAGTAGGTTTCCTGATGATTACCAGCACTATTTTATCTTGGTTTCTTAATAATTTTGAAAGTCTGATATTTAAGTGCAGCTTTCCCTCTCCAGTGACCATTTAAAAAGACAATCTGTGAGCCACCTAATAGCCATGCTGTACCTACCTACTGATAGCGACAATCTGTGAATATGAGTGACTTTTTTCTGCCACTAAATGTAGAGCAGACAACATATTCCTTTGTGCTATTACATGTGGCCTTCCTGTACAGTGAATTGCTTCTTAAAGAAACAAGTGATGCACATGTAACCTTAATCATGGAGGTATGTTTTAGCATAGAGTATTTATGTTGCTGCAGTTTTCTTAGTGTCAGTTCTTCTGACGTATGGTGGCTAGTGTGCACGCCGTTAGAAAGCCCTAGCTTACTCTTGTATGTACAGTATGCATAATACTTAAAACCATAGTCAGCATAAGGTTCTCCTTGTTTGATTTAAAGTAGCTTTGTTTTATTTTCCACTACAGAATTTTGAAGATATAAAGTAGCTTTAGTAATAATAATCTTATTTTACAGAAATCTGACTGCCCTGTTCCAGTGCCTTCATAGCCTTACTAGAGTTCTTCCACCAAGCTGTGATGTAAAACTCCTGAGATCTGGAAGCAAAGGTGTACTTACTGAACAGTTAGCACTGGCTTTGGAAAAAGAAATGCTCACCTTGAGGAGTTCTTTCTTCTCAAAAAAAACTAAAGCTGAAAACAGTTTGACATGGGCGAATGAGCCTGGCAAGAAAATCGAAGATGTTCCTGTGGCTTCTTTACTGGACAGCGAGGAAGGAGTTCAACAATTCAGAAAGAAGCTTCAGAATGAACGGGAAGAGAGTGTGCTAAGTATGAATCAGACAATGAATGGTGCCCTTTACCAGGAAGTTGCTTTGAAAATAGCAGAAGCTCAGCTCAGTTCGGATATGATTGTGTGGAGACTGAGCAAGTCCTAGAAACTAGTCACTAAATTGATTTTGAATAGAATTTTATTAAAATTGTACTACTAAATATTATTTATATTTTCATGGGTACTTATTACTTTTTATTCTATAACTCAGTTATTTCTACAGATAAATACTGGTATTTTGGTTGATGACTTGTAGCTGGTTTGGCAAGAATTCAGTATTAAAGATAGAGGAGTCATTATTTTGTTACAGATTTCAAAAATATTATTTTTAAGGTATTTTCGAATAAGACCTATTCCAAAATCATAATTCTTGAACTATAAATGAACTGTGTAAAAAAAAATTAGCAAGCCTGTACCGTTCAAAAATTAGACTTGAAAGATGACTGTTTACACAGGTAAAATTTAAGCTTTTTTTAGAAATCTTGAGAGCTGTAGAAAGAATCTAAGTTAAGCAACCAATTTTAATTCATAATTTGAGTATGGAGTTTGACAGAATTCAAAGAAGAGGCAGCTTGTCTTTGTGATGTATCAAGCCTTTTAAATAACTTTAATGATACCACTTGAGGAAGAAAACTCTGATTGTACCTTGCAGCCCTATCTTTCTAGAGTCCACATTCAGATATGAAACATTTGGGGGTATTTATTTGAGCTGGAGAACCAGATCAGGCCTCTTACAAAATTTCAAGAACTCTGTAACAAAGTGCCTTCAGGTTTGAGAGGTCCATTCCAGCTCAGAATCTAATGGTAGGGCTAATCTCATTAGTAAACCATGGTGGAAACTGTCTTTCCTTGGATGTTAACCTAGCTTCAATGTCAGAAGATTTGTTTGCTTGCTTCCTGAGTCATAAATTAGTGTTTGCCGATACTAGCTGCTCAGTGGTTTTGGCCTGTCTCAAGTACTTTAAATAATGGATAACTCTTTACCTGTTATTCCTCTCTTCTCTGGTTTGAACAAGATACCGCCGCTTATGTATTCAGGAAGAGAACTGCCTATGATCTTGCAGGTACTACTTGCTGAAGTAATTACTTTTTAATCATTTTTTTCCACCATTGTTGAGTGGCAGAAAGCTTAGAAAATCCCAAATCACAATACTTTGCTTCCTTTTGTCTCTGCTTTATGTAAGCAAAACATTCCTAGTGTGTCTTAGCATTTTTCTAAAGTAGTCAAAATTTTGCTTTTCAGTTTTCCTGTAAACAATTTTAATAGTTAACATCTGCAGCATGTACTCTGGCAATAAAAGTTTGGGAAGAAGAATGGAAGAGACTTATTCATTCAAAGGAACACTGGCATTTCAGAATAATTCTAGATCTTTTTTTTCTTTAGAAAGCTCATCTTCTGTATGTATGTCCTCCAGAAGCATTAGAGTGGTGATGTTTTTCAGTCCAAGGCATCATCTCATATTGGCAACAGGCGTAAACCAATGCACATCTAAAGGCAAAACACTATCTTGAAAAACAGTAAATGAGAGAACACTGTGCTTTATAAGTTCAACCCAATTTAGTGATGTAGTCCCACTTTTGAGATACTCAAAAGTATTAAATGTCTCCTTTTTTGGCTATACACAAGGGAAGTTTTGCATGAAGATGTCAAGAATGCCTCAAGAAATTGTCATGGCTATTTGAAACTCAATATTTACTAGATGAGAAAGAATTGTTTAAAAAAAAACAAACACCCACACAAAACTTTCTTTGTTAAGCCGCAGTTCTGGTCAGCCCGTAGTCAAAGCTTAAGAGCTCATTGTCGGGGCTTGGCAGTCAGTTGTCACTGGAATTTCCAGAAGAAAGTACTGGATTATAAATTCTTAAATGAAGTAAAAAAAATCTCAAAGTGCAGTCCTGTAGCTTGTAGCTAAGGGCAAGACCTTGGCAAACCAGCTAAGCAGAAACTTTCAGAGCAGCAAAGCTGCTATTCAGCTCGGGGCACTTGGAGGAGTTTATGCAAAGTGTTGTAAGCAGTCCAGCAGCTGATTTTTATTAGCGCTTCTGTAGCAACCTGGTGTCATGTTGTAACTAACCATCATATGTGCGTCTCTGTCTCTAAAGGGAAACTTCCAGTTGTGCACACATCACTTCATTGAACTGGTAGAGTGGGACAAATTAAGAGATGCTGCGAATGACGGAAGTTACCAGGTTCTAATTTCATGGAGCTGTTACTTAAAAGAAGCAAACAACAAGATCATAGAAGTGTAGAAGTGGGATTATTAGAGTAGAATAATAATCCATGCAACAACATGTTCCTACTAAAGAGTCTTTCCAGAGGCATGAATGCTTAGTTTGCATATCATCAGATGAAATCATTAAATCTTTCCTAACAGCTCTAAGATCCCTGGGGGTAGTTCTCCAGCTGACTAGTAATGCATAATGACATGGCACAACTTTCGGTGGTAGTAATGCAATTGGTAAGTGTGTTGCATATGCGTGGGAGATACTTCTGTGTGCCAAAGTCTAAAGGCCTGTTGGAAATACTTGGAAGGTCTGTGCTGGTATGGGGTTTTTTTGGCTAGGAATCATGGGAAAATGGAGTGTGTTTGAACAAAGATTCAGGCTCTCTAGATTCTTATCTTCAAGTGGTGGCAGCATGAATTTTGTTTAGAGATATTTTTTTTCCTAAACTTGCCTTTCAGAAGTAAAAGCAACTAAAGGTGTTAACCTTCAGTTTGTTGGGTCTATCGTGACGATTCATCTCAGGACATGCTGGTGTTCAAATGGGGAGTCCAAATTGCATGGAATAGGAAAACTGGTTAGGTTGGCTTACTATAATTCTGTCACGAGCAGTTGGAGTCCCATTTTCTAGACTTCCAAGAAAGTCTTGGAAGTCAGTTCTTGCACAGAGTGAGTTCTGCAAGTACTTTTTTGAGCAAGTCATTTGAGAAACGAAATCAGTTAGTGGCAGCAGCAGTCCTAATTGCTGGGGATTAGTATTGCCAAGAAATAAATAAAATAGTTGGATGCTTGATTCTGTAAATTCCCTTTTCCATGATACCAGATCAAGCTGGGAGAGATACAGATCACAATCAACAGAAGGCATTTTGTTATTAAAGCTGTTACTAATAGCAGATAACTATTCACAAAACACATTCATTTACTCACACACTCATAATTACTCTGTAGGAGCAACAACTGGGAGGCCAATCCCAACCCCTGGGACCTCCAGCTCCTAAGTAGGTAGTTTAGAAAGTCCCTCAATGAACCCTTTGCTTCATCAGGTGTGCAATTCTGTAGGGTTTTTTTGTCTGCATGTAGCAACTGCTATCTGCTTGTACATGATCCACGTTAATGCAACCCATGGTTGATACAAACGTGGGTAGTGGCTTTGTACACAGCCAGCAGGCTCTTGGTGTTCTGAATTTATCAGTTCTGGTGAATTAACAGGACAATTGGTCTCCAGAGCTTACTGGTTCCTGGGAGAGTTTCACATGCTGCTACTCAGCGTGTAATTGTCTCCTCGGCCTGCTGCTTGCTGGTAACCATCCCTCTGTCCAGAGCTGTAGAACCCTTTTACATAAACTTGCAAAGAAGGGGCCTTGATCACGGTGTAAACTTTTGACAAGGTAGTAAAATTATGCACACAGCCAACTGGTCTTGACCCCAAAGGGTCAAGAAAACATAGTTTTGATTTCTGAAATCCAGCAGATGTCAGTGGTTTCTGGCAGGTGTCTATAGGAGCAGTTCCAGTCCTTTGTCCAGGGCAGTGATCAGCTTGTAGACGTGTACTTTGCGATGGCTCTATTGCCACCCCTTTCAAAAGACTGGGATGCAAAAGGGAAGCCTGCCACAGGAAGCATGAGCTGTCATGCCTAAATGCACTCATATCCATCTTGGTGCTTTTAAAGTCCGCGTGATTTCAGGCCCTAAGAAGAGGGAATGTGTCTCAAAGAACTTTTTCCAGCCAAGTTGGTGTAAAAAATAGAATTACTTAGTGTTTTTTTCTCTGTTGTTCTCAGGCAAGAGAAACCTGCCTGCTCTAGAGCATTCACTGTTGTATAGCAGTATTTCCTGTTGAAGTTTGTGTGTGTGTGTGTGTGTGTATGTATTTCAGATCAAACAACAGGCTGCTGGGTTGTTCGTGGTAGTGAGAGTTAAGCCTTCTCTCTCAGCTGCTAATTTTCATTTTCCACAGCATTTGACAATTTGGGAACTGTGAGTCATACGACTGGTCTGTTTTGAATCATGCTGACTCTGCTAAGACAAAATAATAATGCTAGCATGTTTGTTCATGAGCAAGTTATTTATTAGAGACTATTAACGAAGATGATAGGGTCAGCAAAGGGAGTATCCAAATAGTGATAGTTTTCTTCTCCATTCTCTACTTCCCTGGGAGAGATTAAGTTTTAAACAAGTGGAAGGTAAGTGTTGATGCAAGGATTTAAAATCTTTAATAGATGTAAAGGCAGAGGTTTGAGCATTTTGTTGGTTTTGTTTTCTTTCTTGTTTTGGTTGATTTTTTTCAGTACTCTCTTCTCTGCACTCTAGGCATGCCACTGGGTAGTAACACGGTGATCATCTTGATCAGTACGTTGTAGGAGTTTCTAGCCAAGACAAAAGCTGTACCAAAGCCTCCCAGGGGAGAGGCGAAAGAGTAGGAGGTTTAATGCTGCTGTTTAGTCATATTAATTATTGCTTTAAGGAGGTGATACTACTTTGGTCTTTTCTGTGACCTCAGGTTTCTGGTATGTGGCAACCTTACCCTTGGAATGTATTGCGAAATTCATAATTCATAGGTGCAAGACGGCAGCTGCATGTTTATAAATCAATGTGTTAGAGCAAAGACTGCCATAGCGTCAGGGTTGTATCAGTCCAGTTCCTGCCTGAAGTCCTACATTCCCAAAACCCTGTTGCTTAACTGTGGTATTTAGGTCAGGTCCACAGGCTGGTAAAGCAGTCTCAAGTTAACTAATCCTCCTCCTTGTTGTTTGAATGGAGAAGTGGTGAATCATTTGCCCGGCTGCATTCCTTACCTTCGCAGAGAGGTATGAAGGTAAGTGCTTTGTAATGAGCCCTTCAAAACAGCGTGCACTGCCTCTGTACCTGCCCCCTTTCCTCTCC